TTGGAGATAAGCCCAAGGAAAAATTCTTACGTCACTATAAATTTACTCTTGTCGAGTGGAGCACGTGAGAATTAATAGTCCTTAATGGACCACCTGGTTACGTTCGATATTTATTTTCTAGTATAATCGACACCATGTATCGAACACCTGTACGCCGGGGTCTTTGATCATTGTGAAATTGTATACGGATTCGTTGTATTATTATTGTACAACGGCGGTTTTTGAACTCGACACGATTCCTCTGGGAAGATATAGTTACGAGGGGCTTCTCGCCACGCGAGAAAATCTACTAGTATTTCTACTGCAATGGACCTTTTTTTTTTAGAATGATCCATGGATCCTAGATCTCATCGATCGTTGAAGCCAATGACGGTTACGTGATACGAAGACGGTTGAGCTACTTTTCATAATTTTTTTGTTATTTTTTACATACTCAACTACGTTTTCGCCTATTTTTTTGTCGCCCGCTCTTCGGTCGTCAGTTTGCGTCATGAGTGGACGCTGTACGGATTTTTCGTGTTTTCCTTCTTCCCCTCTTGGATCGACCGGCGTGTTCAGCCGTCACGAATCGAAACGCTCGTCTGCTGGCAAATAAGTGGATTTCGCTTTACTAAGCGAATCTTAGCTATGAAAACTCGCAAAGCCGGAACAACGGGGTCTGATGGTTCGTTATCGTGGGAATCGCCATTAACGACAAATCGTTCTCGATCGGCGGCCCCATTTATTTTTCACGCGGTCACGCGACGTTACCTCACTTCCGGGATCTGTATGGGATCGATGGGAAGATTCTTTTAAAATTCGTATCGCGATGCTGCAAGGAGCAAAGTTCGTTCGGGGTCAAAGATCGCGGATCCAGATAATTCGCGGTTTACGTGTCAACCCTAAATCTCAATCTGCCACTTTAACGTAAGCTTTAAGGCTGATTAGCAGGGAGCGGCTTGTTAAACGGTTAGTTTAGTAATTAGTACCCTTGCGATGCAGTACTGCTACGTTGATATATAGTGTGTCGGTTAAGTATGCACACGTACTAATCGAGAGCAATTACCTTTCGGTCCAAGCTCGTACTGTATATTACGAGGCAGCTCGTAAACAAGAGTGATAAATATCCTGGGTACCGATTTGTAAAAGAAAAATTTGAACATTCTCTTATAGACGTGTACCATAGTCAATTAGTAGTTTCCATATTGTTAGAAATGAGGGGGCAAAAAATGGTATGAAAAATTTTTACGAATTTGAATTTTTCGTGTAAAATTATTTATTAGGAAAATTAACGTGGTTACTTAGTTATTTTTAATGCAATTATTGCTCGGGTATAAGGCTACTTAAACGCGCCTTAAACCCAGCCGAGATATAGTCGCATGCCTTGGTAAATGTATAGCCCGGTAAGCAGCTTGAGGTAAAAAGTAGCCATTTTATTTTTAAGGCAAAACATGCCAACAGCGTCGGAAGGTAATCAGGAGAATTTCGCAGCGATGTGCGCTAACTGGAAATCCGTCCCGTGTCTCGTTGCACGCGACATTCCTTTTGTACGAAAAGAAAGGAAAAAAAACGACTAAAGCCGCATTCATACGAAACTACAGTTATACCCTGTTCGAACGATCGCGATAGCTTCGCATGAAATTTCGACGTGAGCCTGTCGTCAGAAATTTAAACGGTCGCGAGATCGTTAGCGCGAACGCGTCAAAATTGTATTTATAAAATGTACATCGTAATATATCCTGTACACAACGAGCGATCGCATGTCGTAACGAAGTTTGACGTGTGAATTAACATTGTTGAAAATACGTAACGTTGCATTTGGAGTACACGCTTAAAGGCACGTTCACACATGCAAATGCACAGAGACAGATCTTAAACCGTACACTGTGCGTACACCTACGCTTTTCATTGGCCGTACACTGTGGATGCACCCTAAGGGGACTCCGCAACTTCTACCTGCGGAGGTTAGGAATAGCGTGGGCCGAAGCGACACCAACTTTGCAGGGCGAGGCTTCCACTTTAGTCGCAATTAGATTGATATACGAGCCATCCTTTTGCTTCGGCTCATTCGGCAGCCAAGCGAAAACTACCGAAGGAACGCGAGCGCGAATCGGCGCCGATCTTGGGCCCGTTGAAAAATTAGTCCCTTGGGCACCGGAGCAGCCATGCATTGTGCAACCCGAAACTGACAGATCGGCCCGAGGGGCCCCGCATGCCGTCTCACCTCTCTTTGTCCGACGCTCGAGGAGTCGATCCGCTGCCATGGCTACCATGGTACTTGAATTTTTACTTCTTTTGCCAAAATTTTACCGCTCTACGTCGGTATCATATTTTAATCTTGATTACCTATTTTCTATGAAAAAAAAAAAAAAAAAAAAAAAAAAAAAAAAAAAAAAAAAAAAAAAAAAAAAAAAAAACATTGATTTTTATAGCGAATTCTATTTATCGCTTACTTCGCCATTTTACTTCAGGGTGGTATCCCGGCTTATGTATTTAGATATTTATGTATGTATTTTCGTAGGGTCCGCATATATATACAATGGCAATGAGTTATGGCTAAACAACTGCCATTACTCCTCAATTATCTAGCGTCGTAATTTCTGTAACTGCACAAATCATAAAGGCCGGTACCCACGGGGGCTACTACAATAGTTGGAGCGCACCAGATAGGACCGTCGTGTATACCTGGAATATAAAACGTATACAGGAATAGTGTACCAGTCCGTACGAGAGTGTACGGGTGCACCTACATGTTGCATTCCTACGCCACGCAACGTAACTTACCATGTACGGGGTGACAGAACGATCTAGGGAATTTTCCATATTTTCTACAAGAAGCTATAACCCATTCGGTATAACAATTGCAATTGTCCTAGGGACAACGTTCAATTGCACGCTGGCACGTCGTAGAAAACTTTTGCTACGCGACGCGTTCGCTCGAAAACAAATTTACGACAAATTGACGCAACTGTCCGCCATTGTGATTAAGGGTGTCTTTAGGGTTAGGTGGACTGACTGGGATTGCAGATGCAACCCTGCCGGCACTGACGACACGGATTTACTCTGGAGGGTTATTAAACGATCCCAGTAAGCGATCCTAGGGGTTGCCAAAGGGATCCTATCTGATCTACAATGGGATCAGTGCTGATCTCCTGATACCGACACCCCACTTTTCCCTTTCATCCCCCTGCTGGCGCTCACTCCCGACGCCGGGGTAACGGGCGTCGGTGACGGATCGGGAGATAATTGAAAAAGGACCCGATTAGTAGATGCGCCGGCACGTTTTCTGGCCAATCAACTTCGATATACGGGGTGGCCCGGAGGTCGCGCGGATGCATAAAATAGGCCCCTTGGCTTCCCAGAGTGACGTCACTGGTCGTCAATGCCATTT